CATAATTGAAACTTTATAACAAGCTCATAGGTCTATTGAATTTTAATAAATTTTTTTCCATGGTTTGCTTGGATTTTCAGACGAATGAGTATATCAAACTTTTATATCTCCTTCAACGAAAGAAGTATTCAAATCTGCAGACACGTCTGCTGAACTTATCAAAAAGCTTCAAGAATGCATCACATTTCAATTCTGTGGAAACACAAGGGGTTAAGCGAAAAAGAGATTTTGATTTTTTAGATCTCTCATTATGAACCCAGATAACAATCATGGGTGGTAGAGTTCGGGAGTTTTATACTCTCGAGACGCACCCTTCTTTTATGGGTTCTATTATATAATCTTTGCGCATATTTATCGATAATTCACTACTTCTTATCCATAATTCCATGATTTGATCGTTCTGTACTTGTTCCTCATTAATAATAATATCTATGTCTTTTTCCATTCAAGATATGTGTGTAGTACTTCACGACTACAATCATTATCATATGTGTTTATTCTGGAGCACATCATTATAATATCTATATGATCTCGTATCATTAATGTGATCTTGTCACCAGATATCTTCCTTAGACTCATGTAATATATTGAGAAATCAATTTGTGTGATCACCCATAACTGGGAGCTTTTAGTATCACTTTCTCAATTTTTTTTTAACCATCTAATGATAGTTTCTGCTACCATTTTATCATTTTGTTCAATCATAATGTAATAGCTTCCAGTACCATTATACCACGATATCATTTCATCAATATGTAGTAACTTCCGGTATCACATTAATCATGTGATAACTTCTAGTACCATCTCATCAATTTTCATTTCTCCATAAAATTGGAGAATTTATCAACTGTTTTTTCAGGATCAGGTAAGTCCATATAATATCCTTTCACGGTCAGGACTTTAGTCAGCTTTTCACATGATCACATAAAAAGTAGCATTCATTTCACTCATTGGCCATTACTAATTAGTACTTCTCATCACAGGCAGCAGAGTCATACTGGCTGGCCCATGTACATATAGCCATTTCTATCCTTTTATATGTACTTTTTGTTGCACATAGCCTTATCATTTGGAAACTCCATATCACCGGCTATATTTTAATTAATTCATTGGCCAGTCTATTTAGCCGTTCAATTGTATTGTTTGTTGTAGGTGACTGCAACACTTGGCATTTCACATGATCGTTCATATTTCCTTATAATATTTTCATCAATAGTTGACTATCGGCTACCATTAAATATTACTTACTAGCGACAGAGCCGCACTGACCAGTCTATGTAGCCACGCATATATATTTTTTATATCACAAGAGTCAATCCATAAATATCCACATGTCCATGTAAATAACTTCCATAATAACAAATTTTAAGCATTTTATAATCATATAATATAATAAACCATATCAATACTGGTCTTAAATAGAAGCATTTATTATTCCAAACAAAATAAAATTAATAATAGCTCATTTTGATAATACTCATTTTTATATTTATGAAAATAAAATTTTTCAATGAAAATAATGCCACTAATGGATTTCTTCTTATTACTATTTAATTTTTCACTTGTCCCTACCTTTCAAATAATTGATCACATGTCCCTCAAACAACCCAACTCTCTATAATTGATTACATGGCTTAGCTTGTAGAATTATCCTTCCTTAGTAATTTGGTTTGTCATATGCACTTCAATATTTTCTTTCCCTATTTTTTTTATATTATAAAAAGGATATTATGGCTTACGAAGTCATCTAGAAAGAGATGTATATCTTGAATATTATTTAATTTGTATTTTATCATTCTGAGTGGGACTTCTGGACAAAGGTTGAAAAAGATTATTTGATTAATCCTACAAGAGATTTCTCTACAAAGGAAGGTGAAAGTTCAAAATAATTCTCTACTCTTAAGGCAAGTTTATTTGATAGTATGTGATGATATCAATAATGGATATACTGTTGAATGCAATACATCATACCTGTTAACAACGTTTGATATACCTTAGGTAACCATTACTCTTTCATCATAATCATCTTGAATCAGGGTGCTTGCCAATTTATAATTTTTCTTCTGGTTTTTCTTCATTTCTTCTTTTTATCTTTGGTCTTGCTTAAAGTAGGAGTGGAGTAGAAGAGATGGAGGATTCAAACGGCTAGAGCATTGTTGCTTTTCATTTTTCCTTGAGATTTTTTTTTTTAGGTAAGGATCACAATAAAATAACGAGTTGTAATAATTCGATTTTTGATACAGAAGATCGTCTATAAGACGCACCTGTAGATCATACCCTTTTACAAATCGAGTTCTAGAGGGTAAAGACTCGTGTTGATAACGTGTAATAAAATTAGAGAGAAAAGTGAGAGGATATAGATAATGTATTTTTTTGGTACTATTTTCATTATAATTGAAGCTCCTTTTTATAGGAAACTTCTGATGGCACAACTTATAATAATACAAATATATCAAGGCAAAATAGTCATTCATATATATTATTATTAAATTCCTACCAACTATCAATAATTTTCTAACTAATCCTATCAAATAAATATTTTATAACAAGATAAAAGTTTTTTCAGTTAAATTTTGAATATTTTTTGAAAATGTATTATTATTTAAAATGTAACTTCTTACTTGTATGATCGGTTCGTCTNCTGGACTAAAACTAAAATATGGAAGAAAAAAAAACACCCAAGAACTACGACAAACACCTAAACGATACAATAAAGCCCTCCTCACTGTTGTCTAGATACTTTCACCCTTCCCAACAAAAAAAGAAAGAAAGAAACAATCGAGACAATCCCGAGAAAGGCAAGATCATAGCCCCCAAAACGGATCTCAAAACTCGAACTCCATAACTCAATAGACTATGGCTAACTTGACACGAGTTTACGAACCCTAACCCTCATTCCAAACGGACCACCACCGAAAACATCTCCGAGACCCAGGAAACCGACGTTGTTGACGGTTGACAGCTAACGGTTACGAGTTTGTATTTAATAGACGATTAAATCGGGTAACTGAACAATAAAAAAAAAATAGAATTAACGGCAAAGTAAGGAAGAATGAAAATAAAGATAACGGAGGAACAAGTGTAGTAAATAATAAGACACCGATTTTGTCGATCTACTGAGGAGATCGGCAAGGAGAAAAGGTTTATCTAGAAAATGTATTAAAAGTGTTTGTTGTGCATGTGTATTGTCGTGTCCCTTTTTTTTTTAGGGGAGAAGGTAGCCGTATTTATACACTAGAAAAAGTATAAGTACAATAAATACGTCGTGCCAGCTAGGGGCGTAGGGTGAAGTTGCGTGTATCCATGCAAAACTCAACTTTTGATGATGAGACGGCTTGGACGGTGTCTTTATCAGCTTTAACAGTTATGTATCCATATGTAAGAGAGATCGTCAATCTTCCTTGGGAAGATTTAAGATGAGATCCGCATTAGGGGTTGCCTACCAATTGGGGAGATCGACAGATCTTGTTGGTGCTGCTTCCTGGGCTACGTGTGGTCAGATTTGTAGGCCCAATGCTCATCTGACCTGGCATTGATGGGCCGGTCCACAGTCCGTAAAAGTTTAGGTACAACATAGAGGCCCCCAAGTTCCTAGGTGTGGACGGGATCACCGATACACCTAGGAAGATACTTCTTTGAACTTCGATTTTCATCGATCACGATGTTATTTACGTCGGCAGGAGTCGGGACGGATAAGGTGTCTTTTCATCTGAAGCATTAAATGAAGAAGCGGGGCGTCTTGTCAGAGTTTTAGGCGTGTCTTTTTCAGATTTGGAGATATATCTTGGGTTTCTCACCTTAATGGGACATGATGTAATGATTGGAGTGTTGGAGGCAATCTCAGAAAGAGATCGCGTATGTCAGAATCAAACACCAGAGGGTCACTAGCGGTGACTGCTGATGGAAAAACCATCGAAATCGAGCAAGATGGAGATTTGCAAACTCGCGAGCACATAGGAAATTTTGGTTTATGAATATATAAAAATAAAAAAGGTTCAACTTTAACAAATTAATAAGTGAAAACAAAATAATAGCATACTCTTTCTCACGTCACATAAATTATCTTAGGCATAGTTACACCAAATTAAAAGGTTCATATCTTCTCTCACCTAGCAGTAGTGAAAAATGTCCTGGGTATAGTTACAGCAAATTAAAAGGTTCATTTCTTTCTCTCACCTAGCAGGACACTACACTTCTCTAAGCTAAACCAGTGTTCTCTACTTTTTACCCAAAAGTTTGCAAGGTACATTTTGAAGTATTTCTCTAGTACCTCATTTAAGCTTAAAGTATTTTTATGTCATGAAACTTAAATCGTTTCTTGCTTCGTAGGTACTATCTATAAGCAAGTTGGGAGCAAGTTGCATCATTCAGATCTCATTAGTGTGAGTTACAAAAGAACTGTTCGTACTATTAAGCATCACAACTCTTTTAGATGCAATGTTTCTGCCATATTCTCCCTTTTTTTGCTTACCTAATTACCTTTTTTTTTTTCGAAACGATAGATTTTATACTCCAAACTTTTGTACATGAGGGGAGCTAAGTAGCTCAATACACAACTACAAAGCTGAAAGAGAGGGCCACAGACATGCCCTAGAAAATAATCAACCACAGTTAAGTCCAATCCTTGGCAAATGCAGAGCTTAGTGACCAAGGATATGTTCTTAACTGCCTAGCACAAAAACCAAAAGGAACTAGACCACTGACCAAAGCCCTAGTCTAATTTACCTACAACAAAACAATCACAGAAACAAAACAAGAGCAACTAACCAAAAGCCTACCCAAATAGTTTAAAAAACTTGTGAAAATAATTATGTACAAATGTGCTTCAATAATTACCTTCAGTCCATGTAAAAATAGTTTTAAAAATTTAACTACAAAAGATTATTAGGGGAGTGAGGAATTATTGAAGCACTGTTTGATTTCACTCTATGTGGTTTCGATACTTATCTCCAGCCCATTTGTACATATTTATCTCCACGCCCAATTTGTACAAATGGGGCGGGCTTAATGGACCTAAACTCGCCTCTTGTTTTCCAACAACAACCTCCTTTTATTTTATTTTCAGATAATTTATCAAATTTTCCCGTTTTCTTCCAAATCCGAAAGAAAATCCGACAACTCAACCCCAAATCATCGATTGTTTCCTTTTCCCTGAAAAAGAAACCTCAGGCACACGCACACGTGGATCCCCCCAACAGGACCACAACAATTTCAAGGTTTTTCTATTTTATTTTTTTCCATCTGATGTTCCACTCCACAGTATCTCGTGTAAGGGCTCAGATCCTCCTGTGCTGCCAGATAATTGAACTTTTTTTTGTTTCTTTTTAATCTGCAGTTAGTTCATTTACTAGATCTTTACCGCGGTAGTTGCCCCGTCGGCTGATTGTTAGTCTTTCTCTGGATTTTTCCTTTGTTGGGACAGAAACATGGATATCAATTCTGCTGTCTACTTGTGCTAACTGAAAATAGTTTATTTGCTCATAATTTTTTCCTTTGCAAGAATTCCTGTCCTTTCCTTTTCTTTTGGGTAAAAATTGAATCTTTTTTCTTCACCTGTGCGCGCGCCCGCGCGCGCGCGTGTGTGTGCGTGAGAGAGAGAGAGAGATGTCGTGGTCTCTTTGTTGAATATATACATGTATCTCTATACATATATATTTGTTTCCTTTACAGTTATTTGAAAGATTTCTATAACTGCATTCTTGCTTTTATGTATTGCCCCAATGGTTACTCTATATTCTAACATATGAACATTTTCATGTTTTTATGAAACGAATTTCCACAGATTGCATAGATAACTAAAACTTCGATTTGTGCCTTCTTTTGCAGGTTTACATAAGCTGGAAGCTAAACAGTGAATGGGGATTCACACAATGGATTCCCACTTAAACGCTACTCGGCAGCAATCTCACTCTCACGTGCATCATCCACTTCCACGCCACAACTCATGGTTAGGCCTCACACTAAGAGAAGTCGAAAACCAATTAGGCAGCAGCCTTACCAAGCCACTCGGCAGTATGAACCTCGATGAGCTCCTCAAGAGAGTATGGACCAGAAATGACAATGCTGCTGTCTCCATCCAGCAGCAGGCAAGCTGGTCACTCGCGATGACTCTCAGTGGAAAAACAGTTGACCAAGTTTGGAGGGACATACAAACAGGTTGTAAAATAAGGGGAGGGGAATCTAGTTTGGAAAAAGAGTTGACTCTTGGTGAGACAACCCTAGAGGATTTTCTGGTGAAAGCTGGCACGTACATTTCAAGTGCCTCTATTGAGCCTATTCTGTCGTTGGATAGTGCGCTTAGGGCCCACAAGTTTTCATCCCAAACGGGTTTGTTGTCTCCTTCTCCCTCAATCGACGAGTTATCTGATGCACCAATTTCGTCAAGGAAGAGTGCTCTAGGGAATCTTGAGAAGGCTATCGAGAGGCGACTAAAGAGGAAGATTAAGAATCGAGAGTCGGCCGCTCGTTCACGTGCAAGAAAGCAGGTAGGATTTAATTCAATTATTCATGTGGGTATTTGAGAATTGCTTGTTTTTCGACGTTTATGAATTTGACAATTTATTATGTGGTGGTGTTGTTATATACAGGCATACCACAATGAGTTGGTGACAAAGGTCGCACATCTTGAGGAGGAGAATTTGAAACTGAAAAAGGAACAGGCAAGTGATATTTTATGTTGTGTTTCTCTCATGTGTGCATCCACATGGTGTCGTCGTGATTATATTTATGTTGATGAGACTTTTGCTGGCATGTGTTGTAACTTGTAATGAAACTGATGACTAGCTTGCGCGAATTGTGGGTGCTTGTGATAAATACTGTTAATTTTAGATTGATGGATTTTGATATTCTAAGCAGATGGACAACATGCACCTTAGATTAGAAGAATGTACCTAATAAGGTACTGCCGTTGTTAGTGGGCAGAAAAGCAGTTAATCCCTCGGATTAATGGTGTCAGGATTGTGTGTATAGAAATTTGTTTACGTATATATGTTGTACAGTAATTGTTTTACAGGGTTAAATTTGTTTGGCAAGTCTTTTTATTTGGACTTATGAAGATAATTTTGGATTGTTGGCCACCCTGAAGAAAAGAAAGGTCTCATGTCTACACGACATGCTAATCTTCCTGGGAATATTCAAGTGGAACACTGCATGCATTTACTTTTTGTGTCCTTTGAAACCTTTGACAAGTTCATGCCTTCGACTGTGAAACACATACGATACAGAAAGTTCTCATTTGATTTGTATGAATCTAACAACTGGGTATGTTGTTGTTGTTGTTGTTGTTGTTGTTGTTGTTGTTGTTGTTGTAACTTGCAGCTCAAATAACATGAAATGTTTGTAGATGAATGTGCTTAGTCGGTGACTTGGTGCTTACGCTTTAGTCGCTGGATGCCCTTTATCTTTCTTTGCCATGTTCTAATGTAAACTTCACATTTTTAATGGCATATTTTCTTGGTGCAAGTGATTCAAAAGCTAAATGAGTGGCCGGCTTTCATCATAATATTGTCTTTCTCTGATCTACGTTGCTAATGTTCTCGTTAATGTATAAACTCGCTTCATACATGAATGAGAATTTCATTTGGCGAAACTCCCCCACCAATTTTATGGACAAATCCAACAATGAAGTTTAGTTCATGAATTATGAAGATTATAATCCATGTTTGAGCAGAACACTGGAATTGGATGTAATCACGTATTGAATTTACATTTCGTTTTGGGCACAACACTGAATTCTCATCCGTGAAGCTTAAATTTGCTCTTTTACCAGATTTCAAGCTTGACATTACTCTCTTTAAAACACAAGCTTAAGAACATTAATTTTGAGCATTAAATTTGGGATCAAAGATTTTTAAGAAGTGTTATGCATCAGATAATTAATGTGTTGATGATTTATGATGGTCACTCTCACAATTCATGGTCTTAAACTAGCATATCTTGTCCAACTTGTTGACTTGCTTGATTAATGTCTTGTATTGCCTTCCCTCTGTTTGTTCACTGAATCTTTTAGTATACTCTTTAGTTCATTATTGAAATTACTGCCTTTGAACAAAGTCAATGGAACATTTTTGAGTTGTCATGTATCAGTGAAATTTCATGGTTAGACATGTACTGGAAACTGTTTGAATGTATATTCAATTTCTCAAACTGAGCATTATCTTCATACAAGTAACTGGGCTTTACTATTTCTCTATTTTTCCAATTTTTGTAAACTGGTATGGGTTTTTGCATTATGCTCTTCCCTATAAGTTTTTTCCAATTTTTTGTAAACTGGTATGGGCTTTGTTGGCATTATGTTTATTTTACGGTTGACATATCTTCTTTAAGAATCCCGGAACAAGATAGAATCCTATTGACATTGAAAGTAACCTAGGTATTGTGGATTATCCTTGTGATTCGATAGCAGCTCATATGGATTAATCTTGGGGCACATTAATGTTTGTAATTTCATCGAGTGCAATGAGAAAATGCCTGGAATAAAGGATAGTTGAATATTTCTTTACAGTGTGCTCGGAACAATCTTGATCGTATACAATATCTTGGTTTTGTGATAGAATTGCTAGGTAGAACGACTGCTTGGTTGTGTTACTTGTTTTTAATTCTCATATACATGAAGGTATGAACTATCAGGGGATATCTATTACGATATAAAGCAAAAATTCTCTCCCTAGGAGAATCTTATATTTAAATGGTCAATATTTACCAAAAAGAAAGGTATCAAGTACGGCTTAGCGTGCGTCTTTACACGGCCAGCGTTTCTTTGATGCGATTTTAGTATTGCAATAATTTGAAGGTTTCAAGTTAGACAGCAAATTCTTTTTCCTTCCTTTGTAAACGATTGTTTTTTGTTCTTTGCAGAAATTCGAGAAGATGGTGTCGTGTGAATTTTCAGAAAAGAGATACCAACTCCGAAGAACAAGTTCAGTCTAAGATTAGACGAAACAGCTGAGCTGGAGAAATTTATTACTAGATTGCAGTCCAAGTTACTTTGGTGAGCAGATATGCTTGTCTTGGTACTTTTGTTTATCGATGGCTCGTTACATCAAACATAGTGCGTGTGGATTTCAAGAGGGCTTGAAGGCTTTACTGTGTATGTCGGAGAAGACATTAAAGTGAAGGATGTTGTGTTGTTAATCCACTTGTAAAGTTCACATCTTGTGGTTATTTTTCATCTTTAGGTGTCCTTGGATGAGTATAGGTTGGCTGCCTTAGGGCATCAAAAGCCTCAAACCATCAGAAGCCACTCTTGCATTATGAACTTCTATAAATAGTAGTGATAGTGATGATGATGATGATATTTATGAACTTCTATAAATAGTAGTGATAGTGATGATGATGATGATATTTAATTGATTTGCCTGTTTGTTATTGCTGGTCATTTTTGTATTCCTCTCGAGGTAGATGAGATAACAATACCTGTGGTTTATGTCCTCTTATGGGATGAGAGATCAGCACATTGAAGATACTGAATCCACTTAAATAATCCATAAATTGAAGTAGTCCTACATGTAATTAAAAATGACAGACATTGAGTTAACACAAACATTACACATGAGATTGAGGATACTGGATTATACCTAATCAATACATTCATGCAGTCCGGTAATTTAATATAATAATACACTCAATAGTATTACAAAATTGTAACTAAATCAACTATTTCCAGTAGTATTACATGTAACTTAAAATGACAATATGATCAGAAATTCAAATTAATCTGTGGAGTTTTTTNGCAAAAAATCTGTGGAGTTAGATAAGTGCATTTTAGTGTAAATTAGTATATTACAACTTTAACTTTTAATGATATTATATTATGTTAAAACTCCATTATATTGAATAATAATAGACAAATGAAAGCGGGCAACTAGAGCTGAAAACAAAGAAGGGCCCACTTTTTCGGATGATAGAATTTTAAACCTTAATAATAGCATACTAGTACATAAATATAAATCTGCAAATGACCCGGTTAATGAGAATCACCATTCCTAACTTCCTTGAGAGATAATTCGCCCAAAGCACATTTTGGTAAAGTACTCAGAAACAAAATATAAAAAGAAAAGGAGAGAAACAAGCACCAACCAAATTAAAATGTAAAACTAACAAAATGACAGCCACAATAGGGCTTGAACTCTCAAATTTTGTTGAATGCCACAATATCACAACTCTGAACGTATTCATTGATAGGTTCGGCCGTGAGATAATCCTCGATCATGTTATCCACAGAGACGAGATCATCAACTATTGTAAGCATGATCTGCAGCTTTTTAATCCCATAACCAACCGGTACAAGTTTTGCTGCAAAAACCAAGAAAAAAAAAACACCAGTAAAAGTAATTTAATTAGTGCACTAAATCCACTATGTGCCAACATAACTTCCTCCAAGGAAAACGAAAGAAAAAGAAATGGTAAAAGGGAGGAAAAAAAATACATGCTCCCCAAAAGAGGCCTGGCATTTCAACACTGCGAACAGCCTCTTCCAGCTTCTTCATGTCAGTCTCATCATCCCATGGCTTAATATCCATAAGAACGGAGGATTTTCCACCTGGAAACAAAGCCCACCCAATCAGACCCACAACAGGATATATATGATTGCAGGAAAAAAAAATTGAAAAAATCAGTCAAACAACTAAAGAAGCGAGTATATGACTACAAGGCCCTAGGATGGGAAAAACCTATAATGGCAAAAAATGCACACATATATGACTTGAGATTGCAAAACACCTCAAACACATTAACTTTTTCAACAACTGCATAAAAGATTTGGCCTTTCCATCAATACTATGATAGTGGTACACATACTCTCTTTCTTTTTAGCAGATGCCTTTGCAGCAGCCTCTCTCTCTTCTGCAGCCTTCTTCTCTTCTTCGGTCTCATCACCAAATAGATCGAGGTCGTCATCATCATCGTCAGCAGCAGACTCCTGGACAATATTTTTCAAAGTAAATACTATTTCTACAACAGTTTTCTAAAATTGTAATCAACCTTTAGAATGCTTAAAGCAAAGAGAATCTAAGAGGATACTTATAAATCCATCAGCAGGGACTCAATTAACAATGGATCTCCCTAATAATTTCAATAGCTACCCATATCCAGAACTAAAAGAGATGCAGAAGTGTTAATATTTTGCTTCAAATTTGTACTATAAAGTTGGCATTTGCATATTGAGAAAGCTATGAATCAACTCAACCCATCAACCTATTTCTAATATTTCAGCACACTTTACAAGTATCAAAGAGAAATGCCATAATAGTGAGTTTTGGGGGAAGAAAAATTCTCCACTACATAATACCCAATAACCCAAATCAAGGAAATAGAAGTCTTTGTGAGAGAAAAGAGGAAAAAAAAGATCTTTGATAAGACATAGCCACATGCAATGATTGTGTACCTCGGATTTATGGCCATTGGATCACACAAGCTCACACACATACTCATGTAGGTGAGTCTTGATCCAACAAATCCCATTTAGGGAGGAGTTAACCCCAATAGATTACAGCTTGTGAGAAGAAAACAAATGCCAATTCACCAAATTACATCAATTTCTACTTCGACATCAACTGAGAGCAACAAAAGGATACAAAGGGGATTCCATACATACACAACAAATTATAGTAGCTACCTTAGTTTCCTTAGCAGGAGCAACGGCAGCTTGACCTCCAATGCTTACTCCAACAGCCGTTCCTGGAAAGCTATAACATTATCCAACAAGTTGGTCAGCTCGACTGTAGATCTCGATAACACACACACAGATAGGGAAACATAAAACCTTAAACTATATGTATCATAAACAAAGGCAGTGGACTTTGGCAAAATAACAAAGTACCTGGCCGCAAGCTTTGCGGAAATAGCTCCATACCACTTGCTGGCATTGGGGTAAAGATCGGCGCTCGGTTCCTTCAAAAGAGCGGCATACACCTTGACGTCATCTTTCGTCAGTTTGTTCCTGAAATCCAGGCAAATTTATTTTAGGAAAATGTAACAAATACAAATAACGCGAAGTATGAATAAAATCGTGAAGGGCAGCCAATTGAATGAACCGATTGATGAGCATCTAACCCGGAGATGTAAGATTTTCCAGCAAGGAAGCTCTCGAGTGCCTTGAGGCCGGCTTCTGTGTGCAGATCTGAAAAGGCAACGGCCATTGCTAATTAGAGAGAGATAGGAACACAGAGAGACAGGAAGCTTTGAGACGGTAGCAGAAAAGAAAGAACCCAGTGAACGTGTGACCAGGTTTTATATGAGATGGCAAAAACCCTAGAGCAAGTCGTTTTCGAGTCTCCTGATTAGAGCACGTTTGTATACCAAATTTTTCACGAAATTTTTTGGTTAACTAGAGTTAGTGTGGAAAAAGATATTATGGTTAGTTGGGTAATTTATTTTTATAAAAAATATAAAAATAATTAGATAAAAATAAAGAAAAAAAAATTATGGATAAAAATAAAAAACACGTATTCTTAAAATACGTTTTTCTAATTAAATTTTTTAATAATATATATTCTCGTAATACATTTTATAATTATATTTTATTAAATAATAATTATATTTTATACGTTAATATTAAATAAAAATAATAATTATCAAACGTATTTTAGTAATACGTTTTTTGAAAACCCTAAATCAATTTTAGGAAATATAAATTTCTATAATTTAATAAAAAAAGACTATTATATATTCATATTATATTATATTATATTAGATTTAATAAAAAAATAAATATAAATAAAAAACGTATTTTTTAAAAAAAATCAAATCTGAAAACGGATTTTCAGAATCCGTTCATTAATGAAATATAAAACTTCAGATCTGATCCTGGCTTCATTCATTCACAACTGCGCCCAGTTTCTCTTCATCTTCTTCGTCTGCAACTGCAAAGCAAATCCATTTGGCCTTAAAAAAAAAGTTTCAACCCTCAATCGCTACGGAAAAGAGGTTAGTTGTTATTTTAATTTAATGTAATCACATTTTTATTGTTGTTTATGAATGTGTAAGAAATATTGTTGGGTTAATAAGTATTGTTTAGAAAAGATTGATTTTTGATTTAATAGTTGTGTTAAATGATTATACTTTGTTATTGGATGATGGGTTTTTTGGTGTATGTTGAAAATTTATCCGAAATATGGATGAATTCTATGTTATTGTTGGATTATGGGTATTAGGGTTTCGGAGGATTATTTGATAAAATAAATTGGGAATATTTCTTTTGGTTGGTAAAAGAATAATTAAAATTTTTGGGTGTTGGATTAGACATTATGTGTTGTTGTAATTGGGAAGAATTGAAAGTGTTTTTTTGCAATAGGTATAAATGGCGCATTGCGGTCCATACCTTGTTAATTTGTACTGGCATTTTGCGAAGGAAATGTTAAGTGAATTTGTTTTATTTAAAGATCGTCCGGATGGTTCATTTCTTATTCTGGGGAGGATATCGTATGAACAATTGGTAGAAATGATTAATGAAAATTGTCGATTTGGAGAAGGTTGGACAATTCAGGAGATTACTTTAATGGTTAGGCAACCCGATGGTTCATGGAATTTCGCAAGACTCAATAACGATAGTGTTCTTCAGTATATTTATTACTTTCCTCCTATGTCCATGGTGTATTTGCATTTATCGTTGGAGGCAATTACATCGGTTACATAGGTTGAGGATGTGTGGGGATGTTACGGGGGAGTGGTTGATGTTGAGGGTACGTCGACTTTGCATCTACGTAATTTTGGAGAAGGGACAAGCTCAACAATGCAATGGGAAAATGAGAACTGGGAAGAAGAAGAAGGCGATGAAGATTTTATTCCTGGTGAAGATGATTTCACAGATGAGACCTTCGAAAGTGAATCATACAGATCGATAAATGAGGAGAGTGAACCCGAATTGATTGAAGAAGAACACCCTTTTCCTAGTAATGGTCGCCACATTTATCGCGAGATAGATGAATGGGAGCCATCGAAGATAGATGAGAACGAGTATGCTCTTTCACGTTGGAATGGTGACATTGAGATCATATGTTTGGGTACAGTTTTTAGGAGCAAAGAAGAAGCACAATCTGGTATCTTGGCTTGGAACATTGATAGGTTGAGGGCGGTCCGGACAACAGATTCTAATTAAAAGTCATACAAAGTGGTCTGCAGATCTAATGAAGATGAACCTTGTGTGTGGAAGGATCGGGTGAGTAAGAAACGGGTTCATGAAATGTGGGAATTAACTGAATGGACTGACAAACACACTTGTATGCAATGGGTCGATCGAAATGACCACAGAAACGTAACCGTCCGTATGATTTCAAATCTTGTAATTAACAAGATTGAAAAGAAACTGGACCACAACGTTAGCATGATCCAAGCTGATGTGAAACAATGTTGGAAAGTCAATGTCAGCTACAAGAAGGAATGACACGGAAGGAAAAAAGCCATCGATCGTGTGTATGGCAATTGGAAATCGAACTTCGCAGAACTCCATCAGTAAGCAAAAATTAATTACAAATATATGTGTTGTTTGTGTGTCACTATGTCTATCTATTTGTGAAACCATTTTGTAATGTGCAGGTATTTTTCCGCGCTTCAAAGAGCAAATCCCACCACAGTTGTGCAGTGGGAATGGCAGGCTGGGGAAATGACGCGACACCTTCCAGACAGAGAATTCAAATTTGAATTATGGGTGTTTGTTCCCGCCATTCAAACCTTCCAACTATGCCCGCCGGTTATTAGCATCGATGGAACGCATTTGCGCGGATCGTATAAGGGAAAATTGCTTGTGGTCATAGCACAGACAGCGAATAAGCGGCTATTTTCAATCGCTTATGCGATTGTTGATGAAGAAAGCAAGGATAACTGGTCATTTTTCCTGACAAATGTGCGGCAATATGTTGTCTTCGACTGAAAGATCTGTGTTCTCTCCGACAGGGATAGTGGCATACTCAGTGCCATTGACTCGTTGGTTGATTGGCCAGAACCCGTTGTATATCACCGAATTTGCCTTCGACATCTTCGAAGCAACGTGGTCACTAGGTTTCAGAATAAGAAAGTGCGGGATTGGTGTTGGGATTTGGGTTCACAATTGTCGGAGCGAAAGTTTCAACAGACAAAAGAGCGACTGAATGATTTAAATCCCAAGGCACACCAGTACCTTTTCGATATTCCTTTGAACAAGTGGACCCTGTTTGGAGATAAAGGACATAGATGTGGTCACATCAGACCCAAATGCTATAAAATGTAACATGACCTCTATTCTGGTAAAGTGCTTAACTGGAGTCGCTCGGTGTACCAGTGAAGGTTCATGCGGTGAATTCCCATAAAAATACCTTTAAAAATCTACAAGTTTGGATTGCAAAGAATTCTCTCAAATGTTTTGCTTCAGTACTATCTCTCAGAACCTCACTTGAAGGGAAATGGTATCTTGATAGTTGGTGTTCAAGGCATATGACTGGTGAACTATTATACTTGTCGAATGTCAAAACTGGTTCAAATGGGGAAGTCACATTTGGCGATGGTGTGACCAATAAAGTGATTGCTACTGGTAGTTTGAATTTGGGCGGTTTACCTAGACTAGATGATGTGTTACTTGTAAATGATTTGAAGGCTAATCTCTTAAGTGTGAGTCAACTATGTGACCAAGGGTTGAGTGTTAGTTTCTCTCGTGATAAGTGCTTTGTGAAAAATAATGAAGGTACTTGCGTGATTACTGGATCTCGATCAACTGACAATTGCTATCTTGTTGACTTAAATGAGAAATGTTTTCAAGCAACTGTTAGTGAATCTGAAATCTGGCATCAACGCTTAGGTCATATTGGATATTCTCACTTGGTCAATATTTCAAATGCAGGTGTGGTTCGTGGAGTTCCAAAAATTGTCATGAAAAATCAGCCCATCTATGAACCTGGTCAACTTGGAAAGCAAACACGAGCACCACACGAAAAAGCTTGAACCATATTGCATCAAAGCAAGTTCTGGAGTTGCTTCACATGGATTTGATGGGACCAATTCAGATTGAGAGCTATCGAGGTAAGAAGTATATTTTTGTGTGCGTAGATGATTTCTCTCATTACACTTGGGTTGATTTTTTGCGTGAGATTGCCTTTAAAACTCTTTGCCTAAAACTTGAAAATGAAAAGGGATTTCCTATAACTAGAATTAGGAGTGATCATGACCGTGAATTTGAGAATAGTGAATTTTCAGTCTTTTGAAATTCTCACGGTATTTTTCATGAGTTTTCGGCTCCTAAGACACCCCAACAAAATGGGGTTGTCGAAAGGAAGAATTGTACCCTTCAAGAAATGGCGAGGGTGATGTTAAATTCCAAGAAGATCTCTCATAGATGGTGGGCAGAGGCCATCAACACAACATGCTACCTGGTGAACAGAGTGTACCTTCGTCGAGGTATGGGGTTGACATCTTACGAGCTTTGGAAAGGTAAGAGTCCCAACCTTAGTCATCTTCATGTATTTGGGTGTAAGTGCTTTATCTATAATGATCGTGAACAACTTGGGAAATTTGATGCTAAATGTGACTTAGGTTTCTTTCTCGGATATTCGAATAACAGTCGAGCATACCGTGTTTACAACACAAGTACCTCCACTGTTATAGAATCCATGAATGTAACTTTTGATGAGAAAACTCCCAATGTTGATTCTTCTGTGTCTATTGATCTGCTTGAAAGTGCTGTCAGTATACAGGACACCCAAGTTGAAACCTCGAAACTTGTTAAAGAAGATGAGAATGACGAAGGTTCATCAACAGGCTCACCAGGAGTTCAGACGGAATACAATGTTCCCACCACTGGAAATCAAGCTGAACCAAGAAGGGATCCACCCTTGAGGATTCAGAAAGCTCATCCTTCTGAACTGGTTATTGGAGCTTTGAATGAGAGGGTAACCAGGTACTCAAAAACCTCAACGAAGGAACTCATGGGAATTTCTCACTTTCGTGCTACACTTCCTTGATAGAACCCAAGAATGCAAAGGAGGCTCTAAAGGATGAGTACTGGATATCTGCCATGCAAGAAGAATTGGAGCAATTCACTTGAAATGATGTCTGGGACCTTGTCCCTGAACCTTCATCTGGAAATGTCATAGGAACCAAATGTATCTTCAAAAACAAAACCGATGAGTTCGGTAATGTGACTTGCAATAAGGCCAGATTGGTTGCACAAGGGTACACTCAGACTCAAGGAGTGGACTTTGATGAAACCTTTATTCCGGTTGCAAGGCTTGAATCGATACGTATATCTATGCATGTTGTGTCTTTTGCATTTATATGTATATATATTTATTGGGTTGCATATTAGAGTTAT